GACTTATTCATAGTTAGAAAATATCGTGTTTCGATCCTGGGAGCCAATCCTCCTTGGAGTCAATGGAAGGACAAAAACAAGGTCAAAAGTTGCTGAGTAATTCGAGGTGAATGACCAATTCAGTGATGTGCAGAACTTATTCTAATGTGACATCTTTTGAGCCACATTTATTTTGAAATTATGAATCAATGCAAGCACTAAATTCCACAGCACATTTAACTTCGTTGTCTTGTCACCCACACAGAGGCTGACTGCAGTTGACTAACTAAACATATAACTTATAGCCAGATAAAACTCAAACAATTACAGAAAGTAGAATGTATAAATAAATCAACAATGATCGCTCTACTATACCTAACACCAAGAAATTCATAAGATACTTTGTCTAATTGTATTGTGTAGTATATTTTTGAAAGTGCCTTAGTAACATCTAACAGTCATCCGATAAACCATTAATAAGGAACAGACAAATAAAAACAAATACATAATCATTACTAATAAGCCAAATGGGTTGCTTATGAACACCAAATGCAAGGTATAGTAGAGTGATGATGGAACCATAAAATAAATCAACAAAAACGAAATACATATATATTTGTAGCTATATACATTTTATGTATTATAATTATTAAAAAGTCCATATTTTACACTACTATACATATACATACATGTACAATATATATGTCCCCAACATACATATATTCTACATTAATAATGGAGATTTTCAAGCTATGAATAAATATAAATTGGACCAATTTGTTTTAACAGTAGAAGATTAAAATATCATCAAGATTATGTTGGAAATAATTATAAGACATTCAGGTGTTTTGAAAGAAACAATGAATCCAGAGCTCATTTAAAAGAAGTACTGAATCCAGGGGCTCAGTTTAATAGGCAATGAATCCAGGGCTCATTTAAAAGAAGCACTGAATCCAGGGCTCATTTAAAAGAAGTACTGTATCCAGGGGCTCAGTTTAAGAGGCAATGAATCCAGGGCTCATTTAAAAGAAGCACTGAATCCAGGAGCTCATTTAAAAGAGGCAATGAATCCAGGGCTCATTTAAGAGGCAATGAATTCAGGGCTCATTTAAAAGAAGCACCATATCCAGGGACTCATTTTTATCTTTAGAGGTCCTGAATTCAGATAATGCTTTTTAAAGATGGCCAAATTTTAGAAACTTCTTTTAATAAAGTATGATAAATATGACGATAATAATAAAGAAGCACTTTACTCTGATATGCCTTTGAAAATAGACCTTGATTCGTGGGAAGAAGTCCTCAATCATTTGGTGGAAAGATTCAAGGTAAAATTGTAACATACATGTTCAAGACAGAAACAAGAACCTCTTTTTTAATACAGTGAAACCTGAATATCCGAGCACCTCTTTAATCTGAAAACCTCTCACTGTGAACACTTTTCGTGTTTCAAAATATGTTATATCCCATTGACTCGGATATTTTAGAGACTTGAATTGTTAGAGACTGAATTGTCATCCTCTTAAGCAGGTGTCCAGAATCCGTACCTCCTTCCCCCTGCTATAACCAAATTGGAAGCGCCCGATTAAACTGAATCACTTGATCTAATTATGCGCCGATGACATATACATGATTGCTGTCGCAGTGTTGCAACAGCCAATCAGATTGCGAGTTCTTATCGGGAAAATGCTAACTGTTTATCGCAGGGGGTAAAAAGAAAGAATATATTCTGGATTTTGAAGCCCTGTGATCGGAGGATCTTGAATTGTGAACACCTGCTAATCTGGTTTTGGCTCATCCCAGTTGCGTTCGGATTTGACAGGTTGTACTGTAATAAAATGCACTATTTTTGCATAATCTTAGCAACATTGAAAGCAGAAGTAGTCAAATTATGATTGAATACAAAGAAATAAATTTCAAATAAATAATAAATAAACTGTATCATGGTTTAAGATTATAATCATATACAGGGTGAGCCAAAATCATTTTGAACTATCCATAAAAACATCTGGTCTAAGTCTTGCAAGGTTGGTCCCTTGCATTTTTAGAGTTTTTTGGTCCACCTGTAACAGATGAGATGAGGAATCAAATAATAAAGATCATCAGAATAATTTCTTCATAGTTTTGTTTTATAATTTCCAAAAAAGCAATAAAATTTACAAATAAATGTGTCATAAAATACAACACCCATGAGCAAACAAAGGATATACAGGGTGTTCAATAATGACCGTCTCCCATCCACAGTCGATCCTAGATGACATGGCAGTTAATGGGGATATGGTCATTATGAACACCCTGTAAAATTGAAATTCTTTAAGCCTTAATGTGTCATGTTACATGTTTTTGCTTATAAAATTTTATTCAATTTAAATTTGTGTATATGAACACCTAGATTTATGATATATTAAGTCATATAATGTTCACAATCTAAGAATTTATACCAGTCCCTATCAGGATACATTGAAGGCTATTCCCTTATCCTTCAGAATCGATAAACAAGGCATTAAAAAACATGCAAAATGTCATCACCTGCCATTTGTTACAGACGTTGAACATAAACACCAACCACCTTCCGCCAAATACTGTCCACGAAGAAGTTCGTAATGACATGAAAAAATAATTCAAACTTTTTTCATGACATGAAAAAATTATTCAAATGTTTTTGCATTCATCATTATCTTCAACCATTTTAAAAGAGATTGTTAACAGCCATCAATATATCCTTATACTGACCAGTAATATTTAAATAATATCTAAATGAGATTTCACCTAAATAAGTCTTTTGATATATCGTCGCATGAGAATAACTTTGTACTATCTCACATTTTTACGGAACTGAGAAATCAAGGTTTGAAAGTTTAGAGGTCTGTATCTTACTTAGTATTGCTATGTGAAACTTGATTTTTTGTATGTCACCTGGTCTCACCCTAGAGATATCGTATATGAAATATCATACCTTGAAACAATTTACAAGATCCTTTTTTAAAACTATGGAAATGGAGTTGATACAATTTCCCACCGGAATAACAGCTTATTTCTAATTTCAAATTGTCATATCTGATATCAACTGTTTCAACCAATCAACTCTCTAAGAATTGGTCATGTGACTTGCAAATCTTGGAGTTATAACAATCTTATATTAAAACAAAGTATGCCAATATGCATGTTATTGTATCTAGAATGAAAAATAATGTTTTGCTTTGTAAAAAAATCTTCAAAAACCAAAGAATATTATTTAATAAAATAAAGAAAATTCAATTTATAAAACTTTAAAATCAATTTCTCAAATAAGTACAATTATTTCTTAATTTTGGAATCTCAGGACACCCTTCAAAAAGAATTTATTGCCTTTGAAACTAAGGCAGAAGTACAATGCATTGAAACCAATGATGCCAATACGGTCCCCCACATATTTCCCTCAGTATAAACCCTGTAGCCTAAACCTCCCAGCACATTACAATGTAGCCCCTAAGGGCCGGTCCGCTGGTCATTATCAGGTTATTTTTGATACAGACCAGTTGATTTTTTCACTGGGTATAGGAGAATAACATTGCAACTGGTCCGTAATTCCATTTTGACCAGCAGGTTTCAGATCCTTAGGGCCTAAGACATAACCAATTTTTATTACATGCACATGGAAGAAATTTGAAAATAGAAAAATAATTTCTAATTCATTTAAGATTAATGAAAGTGATGAAACCTCGATTTGGGTAATCACATTTTGTTCATTGGGATGCAGCTATCATTATCCATTCATTTTCTGTTGTTAGCTACTCTGTGGAGTACAATTGGCAATTGAAGCAATTGTAGAAGTGGAGACTAAGAGTAGCTCTTTGTAAAGAAATTGAACCAATTTGTTACTTTTCCAAAATAAAATGTAGATGATCTAAAAACAATGATCCCAAAAATGCAAAAGAAAGGACAAATCTGAAAAACATACTAGTAATAAAATAACTAAAAAGATCCCAGTGAAAAGCACAAAGTAAATCATAGATGAAGAGAAAATAAAATAAGTGTTTTAAGGGACTATACTAACATAAAGATAACTCCTTATTGATATAGTGTATGGTCAGTAAAAGTTAAAGCTAGTTTAAATAGATTTAGCTTTTTTCCACAAACTATAAAACATCATTTTGAAAGAGATTTCAATAGTATACAGACAGTGATTGCCTTTGAGCAATGTAGTGCAAAATATGACAGTTACTATTTTGATTACTATATCTAGTATATAACCTATTATTATGTACTCTATTTGAAGAAACAAATAAGTAGTCTTTCATTTTCAACATTTAATGATGACAGTTCGTATATGCATTTCTATTGCATTTGACCTTTCAAACCCCTATAAGACCTGGTAGCAGGGAAGATAAAGGGTACTTTTGACTGCTCACATGATCTAATTGACTGGTAATTTGTACTTTTCATCTTCCCTGGTAGCAAGGATTTAGGTTTTCGAGGAAATTAGTAATTCTATTTCATATCATGTGGCCATGAATAATCCAATGAGCATCCATAATACAAAGAGTAATTGAGGGCATATAATTTGAATATGCATGGGATAACACATACTGTATCATTTTATTTTTTTGATCTACTTGTAATAGTTCTAAAACTAAAACATGAAAGGCCAGGCATGCAAACTGGCATGGTATTGTGTTACAAAACATTATTTCATTCTAGATACAATAACATGCATATTGGCATACTTCGTTTTAATATAAGATTGTTATAACTCCAAGTTTTGCAAGTCACATGACCAATTCTTAGAGAGTTGATTGGTTGAAACAGTTGATATCAGATATGACAATTTGAAATTAGAAATAAGCTGTTTGTCTGGAGATGGTACAATTTCACACTGAATTCTAGCTTAATGAGAGGGAATTGAGATGGGGCATGTATCTGAGATGAAAGCCTGTGTTTCAAATAGTAAAATTCCATGTCTATCTCAATTTTTTTGAAAATGGCAGTTAGTACAAAGTTATTCTCCAAGACGATATATCTTACAGTTTTGTTAAATTTCACAAAATGATGGATATAAACAGCAAGCTGAAAACATTGACTGAGAATCAACTTTTATATATGAAGCTACAAAACGTAATAATAAATACTGCGGCTTAATATTTTGTTCTTGTGACTTTTTCATCGTTCAAATTCGTTGAACATTTGACATTTTTTGATATGACGAAACATTCGTAATCAGACTATAATATGCTCGAGAGTGTGAATGGATTAACACATCATATTACACCAAATGCTGTATATACACTGTACACTTCTGTGTAACCCCCCTGTGCTATTTAGTAAATACTTGATCGAACCATGAATAATACATCCCCTTTTAAGTAGCCACTATTCCACAGCATGACATCACATCCCACAATTCTCCAGTACCTTTATGAATTTATGGTACATGGGTACATTGAGAAAAGGATTCTGGGAGTACATCCTTCTGTATATCCTACTTACTGACAATCACTAACTGCTTGGCCATTTCTACATCCCTAGTAAACACATCCAGATTATTCTGGACTAATTTTTGATTTGCATATTTATAAAAACATGATTTCCTTTTGAAGAATATACATTTTATGCACCATGTGTTTCGAATTTTCACCTGCCACACATGGAAATAAATTTCAACCGATCAGCAGCATTGTTACATCAACTGAAATTTACTTCCTCCAGTCAGGATTGGCCAATCAGAGGTCTGGTCTCAAAACAGTCAATTCAAGTTCAGGTTGTGTTCAACCAATGAGAATGTCTGTAACATACTAATTGACCAATCAGAAGGCTTGTACTTTCATTTTAGCAGCTACACCCACTCTCTTTGGTTTCAGGTTCAGTGGGGGTGTCCTTTAGCTTCACTTCAATCACTGAGAAATTAAATCAAGGAAAACAAAACCACAGAAATTACATGCACAAATAAATAAACATTAAAAAAAGTTAAAATCTACACATCAAAAAAATATTCAAATTAATAATTTTCTGATAATAAACTGATATCAAATCAAATTAATCCGATAATGTTTTTTACACATATATACATAAACGACAACAGAATGATGAGTAAAAAAATGAAAGAATTTCATGCTACATGCAATTCTAAGTTACATTTCACACCACAGAGGAATCATCAAGTCCATTACACCACTCATAGGATCATGTTCCACAACTTCACAGCATGTTTAACCATGGTAAAATACTAGAATGCATCTCATTAGAGTTTAATGTTCATTTTATTTTATTTTAATTTTTCATAATTTTTCAATGTTATGAATATGGACCTCATAAAATTTTGTATTTTTCATACTCGGATTCACTCCGAACAAATTAGCATGTAGCGGCAGTTATGCCTTGGTCACATATGCTCCGATCCATCGGCCGGCGCCCGGTCGATTGAGTGTTTTGTTCAATATTCTATTCAATTTTGAACAAAATGCTCAATCAGCTGGGCGCCGTAGTGAAAATCGGAGCAAATGTGACCAAGGCATAAGCAAAAGTGATCGGTCATTTATCTGACATATTATACTTTTAAGTGAAAAGTAAAATGATATAAAATTTGTATATATACATGTATCATCAATATGGTATTATGTGGTATAAGATATAAAAGGATACTGTCTTCACCCTTTTTCTGGTCTGTTTGTTCCATCCCCGGTAACGCTGCAGCTACTCGCCTAAATAACTGAAATATAAATAGACCAATCAGAATGATGCACTATGATCACATGACTTACTTAAGAACTCCATTGTTATAGTGTCTACTCTGAACAAGACGACGTCAATATAGCACTTTTTCAAAGGGGGATAAAAAAACTTTGATGATATCCTTAGAATCTAACCCATTAATCGAATAATTGAATATGATCAAATGATGTTTTCACTTAAGTTTTTAGTTTTAAAAAACTTGGCATTAATCTACGATACATTTCTTTATGTGCATCTTATACATCAAGTGCATTCAAGAGATTATGTCAGCTTCATAATAAGCAAAATACCTCAATAAAATCATAAATGTTCTAAACCAATTACAACTTTGTTACAGTATCCAGTGATCTCCACAGGATTTTTTCTAAAGTGGGTGCACAATTCTCATTTTCACAAGTCAGACCAAAATTGGTCAAATTATGCCAATTTTTCATGATTTTTCTCATTTTCAAGTGGGTGAAAATGGATTTTCAGGTGAGTGAATATTTTCGGAATCCTAGGAATCCATGCTGGGGAGATCACTGGTATCTATCAATAAAGTATTTATGTTTCTGAAAAGTTTTCATTTTTTTAATCCAACAATATCTCATTCTCTCTCAAAGGAGAATTCTTCATTATTTAGGCCAAAGATTTTCACTTACTTGTTTTACATTATATCCAGCTTTTGCACTAGTTTCAATAAACATAACATTTAATTCCTTGGCCTTCCTTTCTCCCTCTTCTGTAGAAACTTGCCTGGAAGCGAAAAAAAGAATGGATCAATGGCTCAGAAACAAGAAAATATTTCTTTTAATTATCAATTTGGTCTTTTATGTTAAACTAGAAAAGGGTAATCGTATGGAATAAAATCCCAAGCAACTTCCATGCACACCAAAATCCACATATTTAGGTGGTCGTTCTCATAGTATCTGTGTAATTGAAGTTTTATGTTCTAATACATAAGTGACATCTTTTGAAAAGATCATAAAAATTGGGATGATTAAATATTCATTATGGTGAAAGTAAGCCCTAAAGGCTTAAAGAAAAGGTTAATTACAAATTGATACACCTAACTACAAGATAGAAATATGTGTGAAATTAACGATCGCTATAGTCACGTTTTAAAATCCTAAATAGTGGAAAGTAGTGGAATCAGCAAGGAATAAAATAATAGGCATGTAGTCAACACTCTAAATTATACAGAAATGCAGGAAATCAAAAACTTCATTAAAATTTTGGCGAGAACAAGTGAGAATAAGGTATGGGCTGACAAACATTTGAAAGCATTTGGGCAGATAATATATGACAGGTTGGTCATGTTTTATAATGCAAAATAGAGTGGAAAAGAGTGGAATTAGCAAGGAATAAATCAAACAGGCATGTAGTTAACACTCTAAATTGTATAGAAATAAAAGAAAATAAGACACTTCATTCAAATTTTAGAGAGAAATAGCAGGAAATGTTCAAGGTCAAGGTCAAGGTCATTACCTTTTATCTGAGAGATCAGTTTTGTTGCCTACAAGCATTATGATTACGTCTGTGCCTCGTTCCGTTCTAACATCATCTATCCATTTAGAAGTCTGTTGGAAGGAATTTGCATCTGAAAAATAAAATAGACATAGAAGAGTCTAACAATGCAATTATATGAGCAGGGGTTTCATTAGCAGCAGGCAACAGGCGATTTTTACCTGTTGTTTTCACAGAATCGCCTTTACATCTAAATAATAAATAAAATAGACATAGAAGTGTCTAACAAGGAAGTTATATGAGCAGGGGTTTCATTAGCAGCAGGCAACAGGCGATTTTTACCTGTTGTTTTCACAGAATCGCCTTTACATCTAAATAATAAATAAAATAGACATAGAAGTGTCTAACAAGGCAGTAATATGAGCAGGGGTTTCATTAGCAGCAGGCAACAGGCGATTTTTACCTGTTGTTTTCACAGAATGGCCTTTACATCTAAAAAATAAATAAAATAGACATAGAAGTGTCTAACAAGGCAGTAATATGGGCAGGGGTTTCATTAGCAGCAGGCAACAGGCGATTTTTACCTGTTGTTTTCACAGAATCGCCTTTACATCTAAAAAATAAATAAAATAGACATAGAAGTGTCTAACAAGGCAGTAATACGAGCAGGGGTTTCATTAGCAGCAGGCAACAGGCGATTTTTACCTGTTGTTTTCACAGAATCGCCTTTACATCTAAAAAATAAATAAAATAGACATAGAAGTGTCTAACAAGGCAGTAATATGAGTGTAACTGTCGTCACCTGGTTGAAATTACGAATCAATTGTTACAGAAAGTTATAGAAAAATGGTAGCAAATAACAATGTGATATGGTGAAAGAAAACTGTATCTGAATCTAACATCAAAAATGAGTGAGACAAATTGGCACTAGAAGGTTTTGATAGTGAAACTGCAGGAAATATTGAGAGTTTATGAGGGAAAATCATATTGTGCTGCGTAACTGTGCTTTATGAGTGTGATTTGAAAACAAAATTTTACACAAAATTTTATGCTTAGCATATAATGCTTTATGCAATTGGCAAGCCATTCTTGTATAAAATGTTAAAATGTATTTGATGAAATAAATTGACAATGTATAAAAAAAAATTGAAAACAAAATTAAACATGTTTGTTCTGGGTAATAAGCAGGGATTGAGGATTTTAAAAACTAAAATCAGACTCAAATCACTAAGGTATGTCTTGTGTATAAAGATGGCAGAATATGCATTTAATATGTATTCTAAAGTGAACAATCATCCATCGAAGTGCTAAGTAAAGAACCATCATGACATATGAAGGTGTTTCACTAGAATTTCACACAACAGGCTAAATAAATGAAAACAACAGGCAAAATTAATGGAAATCATAAATTTAACATGGAAAACTTGAAAAGTTCCTAAAAACAACAGACGATTTTGTGAAAACAACCGGTGAAAATCGCCTGTTGCCTGCTGCTAATGTAACCCCTGATATGACTAAAAACAAATACCATGACATATTTTAAGAAAAAATTTAATGGAAATAAAGTTCTTTTCCACTTACTTGTTATGTCATATACAACTACTGCTACTGAACTGTCTCGAATATAACTAGGTATTAAACTTCGGAACCTCTCTTGACCAGCGGTGTCCCATAGTTGTAATCGTATCTGGAAATACAGAAGAATTATAGGTGAGAATGGGTCATTATAAACTTGAAATATATGTATATAAAGTGCAAGTCATTAACATGCAAAACGTTACAGATGATAACTGCCGAATTTGTTACAGACATCAATAAAAACCAACGACAGATGATCATCCAGAAAAAAGATGGAGACCATACAATATATCACCACTTGTTGTAGTGACACAAAAAGGATAGACCAAATTAATAATATGGCTAGTGACCCTGCATGTATCTGTTTGGGCAGCTGGGAATATCCCATCAGATTGAAGCTGCTGTATCCGAAACATCCCAGTACAGCACCAGTGATCTCCCCCAGCATTAAAGTAAATGGGAACTGCACCCACTTAAAATCTTAAAAACATGCAAGCCCATAGCCAGGATTTGCCAAGGGGGTTCACATTCTGAAAAATTCCAGGGGGGGTTCACTTGTGACAATTTTGGTCCAAAAATGGCCAAAATGGCCAAAAGTGCTCAGAATGGTGAAAAACTGCATGATTTTGAAAGATTTTTTGGCCATCACCCCCCCCCCCCTCCCTGGCTACAGGCCTGACAGGCTTGCACCCACCTGAGAATCTATTTGCACCTACTTGAAAATGAGAAAAATCATGAAAAAAGGCATATTTTGAACACATTTGGTCTAAATTATGAAATCAAGAATTTTACACCCATTTGAGATAAAATCTTGGGGGGAAGGTTGTATACAGCCCTTATGTTCTGTCAAGGTAATCTCACTTAATAAGAACGGATTGGAAAATACTAAATGGAGAATACCTTCAAGTATATGATCATGGCAGGCAAGATTAGAAACGTGATATTAACTCAAAAAGAGGAATCAGCAAGGAATAAAGTAAACAGACATGAAGTATATATTCCAATTTGTAAGAAATATAAGAAAACTGAGGATTTTTTTTATTACACTAGAGAGAAATGACTGAATAAAGGTGATTTGTATTATATTTTAAGCATAAGTACATAATAGCATGTAGAACAATATGTCTGGGAACAGAACAAGAGCCAAGGTCACTGTGACCCGACTCAGGCAGACGTTTCATATTTCTCATATTTCTCAACAAAATTTGAATGAAACATATCAAATTATGAAATTTTCTTACAATTCAAAGTACTGTCTTCAAATCTATATATTCTAATGTCAAATAATTCCTCTATATTTCACTTAATTTTACATTTCAAAACATGAACATCGTGGAATCTTACTAAAGAGTCGCGATTCGTGTCTACAGCATATATTGTCTAATACTGAATACACCGCTAAGCTGCACACAGACTTGATTTATGGCCAGGAAATTATCTCAAATTAAATTATCATCAAATAAATTGTCATGGTACTCTTTTGGGTTTACAACTAAAGAGATGCATTATGGGAAATAAGTAGAAATAACCTAACCACGGTTCCTCCATGTTTGCAATGATAAATCACCTGACTAATCCTTGACCAAACTCATTTTTCTCGTCAATGATGAATGATGTAACTATAATATTAGAACAGCATGGAAGTGATAAAAGGAATATCGTACCATAATATACTAACAGGCTATACATTATTCAGAGACATCATTTTGATACATCATTCTAATACATCATTTTGATACATCATTCTAATACATCATTCTAATACATCATTTTGATACATCATTCTAATACATCATTTTGATATTTAAATCTAATACATCATTTTGATACATCATTCTAATACATCATTCTAATATATCATTTTGATACATCATTCTAATACATCATTTTGATACATCATCATGAGACATCATTTTGATACATCATTCTAATACATCATTTTGATATTTAAATCTAATACATCATTTTGATACATCATTCTAATACATCATTCTAATACATCATTTTGATACATCATTCTAATACATCATTCTAATACATCATTTTGATACATCATCATGAGACATCATTTTGATACATCATTCTAATACATCATTTTGATATTTAAATCTAATACATCATTTTGATACATCATTCTAATACATCATTTTGATACATCATCATGAGACATCATTGTGATACATCATTCTAATACATCATTTTGATACATCATCATGAGACATCATTGTGATACATCATCATGAGACATCATTTTGATATATCATCATGAAACATCATTTTGATACATCATTCTAATACTTCATTTTGATACATCATTTTGATATTTAAATCTAATACATCATTTTGATACATCATCATGAGACATCATTTTGATACATAATCATGAGACATCATTTTGATACATCATTCCAATACATCATTTTGATACATCATTTTGATATTTAAATCTAATACATCATTTTGATACATCATCATGAGACATCATTTTGATACATCATCATGATACATCATTTTGATACATCATTCTTATACATCATTTTGATACATCATCATGAGACATCATTTTGATACATCATTTTGATACATCATTCTAATACATCATTCTTATACATCATTTTGATACATCATCACGATACATCGTTTTGATACATCATTCTAATTTATTTTGATACATCACTCCGATATATCATTTTGATACATCACTCCAATATATCATTTTGATACATCATTCTAATACATCATTTTGATACATCATTTTGATATTTAAATCTAATACATCATTTTGATACATCATCATGAGACATCATTTTGATACATCATCATGAGACATCATTCTAATACATCATTTTGATACATCATCATGATACATCATTCTAATTTATTTTGATACATCACTCCGATATATCATTTTGATATATCATTCCGATACATCATTTTGATATAGAGTATCTATTGTATGGGTACCTGTGCAAGATCATCTATTCTTGATTAGCATTTATAATTCTTCTTTTATCAAGTCGAATGAAAACATTATCAAAGCGAATCAAAAATGGACATCTGTGCACAGTACGAGTACAAGAAAAATTTTCTTCATTCTAATACATCATTCTGATTTCTTTCTGATATATGATTCTTTAAAATCATTTTGAAATATCATTCTTTAACATCATTTTGAAACATCATTCTAAACTCATCACATATTTTTGTGCGATACAATGTTTAGCCAGGCTTGAAACGATTCTTTTTTCATTCAAAATTATAAGAGCTTGTTTGAATGATAGAATTTCTTGAATAAGTGTAAAATAAATGATTTTATTGATTTGTAGAATATTTGAGTTGTCCTGGTAAGATCACAGTAGAACTTTGCCTCTGAAGTAAAATATTCTATAGTTGTTAATAACTTAATCACGTTCGTAGAATTCTTCGATAACGAATCAGTTACGGTGACAAATGGCCCGCAGCATCAGAGGTACGATTTTTCTTTTTCATGATTTCACAAATTGTAGGCAAAATCTTCATGAGCTTTCTAGCGCAAATTTGTGTCAGCATCATATGTTTAAGAAAATCTAAGTGCTTACAAAGGAACAGTTCACAAGATAACAGAGTTATCAAGAGAAAAATGACCAGGTGTATTCCTGAATTTTCAAAAATCTACCATATGCAGGGGTTTCACTATAATTTCTCACAACAGGCTAAATGAATTAAAGCAACAGGCAAAATTATTGGAAATCATAAAAACATGGAAAAATTATAAGTCCCTAAAAACAACAGGTGATTTTGTGAAAACAACTGGTGAAAATTTCCTGTTGCCTGCTGCTAATGAAACCCCTGCATATGGGTCTTGCCTTTTTCACGGTATTTCTCTCTAAAATTTGAATAAACTCCTTAACTTTCTGGAACTTCTTTACAACTCAAAGTATCAACTACACGCCTGTTCACTTTATCTCACCCTAATTCCACTCTTTTCCATGATAATTTCCATTCTAAAAACACTCCGACCATTCTATCACAAGCAGATTTTACTCAAGGCCAAAATGATAAGTGAATCAGAACAACCTAGTTAAACCTTGCATGAATCTTGTATTTTTAGGTTCGACAGTTCAACACAATTCAGATTTGCGTAATTTCCCAAGAAACCTAATGCTCAATCTTAAGCATAAATACATCTTTGCTTCGATCAGTTGATATAATCTATTCTTCAAAGAATCCATAATTGTCTCGTACAATGTTACAAATTTAAGAATACTCGACCAGAATAATACCAATGTACTTTTGTGCAATGAACTGCCTAGTCTTGCTCATGCAATTGACTGTACTGCCCCAACTGTAGTTACATTTTTAATAGATTATATGCTAGTTTGACACAAAAGCACTTTGGTAAGAGTTACCACTTTAGCAGATAGTTACCATTTTGAAGGAAAGTTACCACTTCTCCACTTTGATAGGTAGTTACCACTTTGACATATGGTCACCACTTTGACAGAATGTTACTACATATGCTCACCACTTTGACAGATAGTTACCACTTTGAAATATGCTCACCACTTTGACAAAAAGTTACCACTTTGACAGAAAGTCACCACTTTGACAAAAAGTTACCACTTTGACATGTGGTCCACTCTTGCAGATAGTCACCACTTTGACAGAAAGTTCCTCTTATGTGCAGGTGGTAACCACTCCGAGCAAGTAGTTAACACTCCATGCAAAAAGTTGCCATTTATAATATAGTCACCATTTCAGCCGGGAGCTGCCCTTTTTCATATGAAATTTCCCGAACACTTTGACCACAATGACATTCTCTTATTGGAGATTTTTATTCATGCAGAGAGTAACTTGTTGATGCTAACACCATGGGAATACAAGGCAACCATTCATCACCCATCCACAGCTCCTACTCTCAAACCACTATGAGAAACAACTGGAATGCGTAGGTGTAGATACTTATGGAAACGTAGATGTTAAGATTAGTAGGAAAAATCAATAGTGGAAAAAGATGTCCCGCCAGAAAGGGTAAAAAGATCAGACATTGTGAAACAATTGTTACATAATGATAACAATTTGGCTGTTAATGGTCAATTTTTGAAGAGTGGACAATGGTTTGAGCAAAAG